AGGCTCCACAGAGTGGGGAGCGGGGTGCCTCGAGAAGGTGGAGCCAGGCTAACTTTCCCTCCCTCCGTCAACAGGTGATCCTCCCCATTCTTCAGGTCAGCACCCCCTGTTCCCCATCCCTGCCCTTTGGAAACTTTTACAAACTTTGGAGGCGTCGAGCTCTTTCCCATTTGGGACGCCCAGCGTCGAGCTCCCTCTTGGGGTCCTCTGTGGCGGGAGGAGCGGGCGCCTGGGATGCTGAGAGGCTGGGAGGAGGTGATGGGTACGCGGAAAGCGTCGGTTACGGTGCTGGGTTACATACATACCTGCAGGGAAAAGGCAAGCGAGGGAGCTAGTCTAGGGCATCCTCGCCCTTGGGGATCGGGCATACGAAAAGGCTGCTCCGGCGCACGACTGCCCTGGCGGGCGGAGGGTGAGGACGAGGTGCCAATGCCGGGCCGAGGGGCTGGCGGGGCGTTCTGGGAGAAGCTGCGGGCGCCACCCTCGGAGCTGGCCTGTATCACCCGGTGCAGAAGAGCTTAAGCTCTGCCTTCACGTTCTCTACCTGTTCCCGTGCCTGCCTTCTCCCTGAATTCGGATGGCGTCATCTGGGTTTGTCAGGCCCCCAGGAAGCGCCCCCCACACACCCCGTTTTATTTTAATTTAGCCTTCCGTGGTGGGAGAGGCAAAAGGACTCAGTATGGGAGGCGCAGGGTTTTGAAAGGTTACCCCGTGTCAGGGATGCTTGCTTTTTGAGCCAGCCCTCGCCCGCTTTGCTACTAGGAAAAAGAAAAGAAAAAGAAAAAGGAAAAACAACACCCGTCCTCCCCAACTTTCTTTTCTCCTTGGAGAGCTCTGCATGTGCCAGTGCTGTGCCTGCCGGCGGCTGGCTACCGCTCACCGGCGGCCAGGAACCGCCCTGCGGGCGTGCACAAGGAGCGAGTTTCCTCTCTGACTGCGTGTGCTGGTGCCTCCTGGTATTCCTTCCTCTCATTGTTCTGCTTTTGTTTATAGGAAGCCAGACTCAAACGCAATCACTGCAGGGACCTTAGGGAGCAAATTCCCGCAGGCACATGCTGTTCTTGTCCCCTTTCCACTCCCACCCACTTCTCAGGCTGCAGTAGACACTTTCTTCACTGCCTCAGCGCTCCTGCTCTGGGATTCCTGGGCTCAGAGGAGTGGGAGGAGCAGAATGCAGATGCTCACCTGTGACCTGGACCCAGTCCAGGGGGAGCTGGTCCTTCCCTGAGGCCCCAACTGACTCTCATATAGTCCCTAGAGTGGGTGCCATTAGGAAGATCCCAGTCAGAAAAATACCAAGGCGGTTTCCTTTGGCTTAATTCATTAGTAATGGAGTATGTATTAAGTACCAGACTCTTGTGAGATTAGACAGGCTAGTGTAGTGGGAGTATCATCTCAGAGGTGGGTTTGTATTTAGAGTCCTCATTTGCCAGGAGGGTGAGTTTGGGTAATGAATTTCTCAGAGCCTCATTTTACTCATCAATAAAATGCAATAATAATAATCATCTCCAGACATCAAAAATACAATTAAACTACAGAACAACCATCATGCAGAACTACTTGAAATCTAGCTGAATGGCAGTCCTACAACTAAGGATTTTAAGAAGAAGCCACTTTGACACTAGTAGGAGTGAGACTGAATAGGCTGGTCCCACACTCAGGTGTGGCGGATAAAGCTCAGCTTCAGAAGTGCCCAGTGTAGCGAGGGGTCCCAGCCCCACACCAGAATGTCCCAGCCCAGATTTCCAGGGCTGGGAAGAGAGATCCACATAACTTCTGGCGGTAAAATGCAGCAGGGATTTTGGCTGAGTGAGAAGGAGGGCTGCTGGAGTCCCAGGCAGTTTCTCTTAGAGGATCTGAACATGGATTTACTTGGATGCCCTCCCTTTGGGTTCCAGCACTGGGGAAGCAGCTGGAAAGGTACCAGGGACATACAGGGAGTAACTATATTGTCTGGCATCAGGGCGAGAGCTGGAGGGACAGCTTTCTCCCAGATACAAGTTCTGGCAGAAGCCATTGTGCCTTTTCTGAGCCCTTCCCCCACAGACCTGGCAGGCAGGTGTCAAATCAGAGTCTCCATCAACCTGACTATCACTGTTTGTCCTACCCTGGTGATTTCCTGAGACCCTGCCCCACCAACTTTTGGGCCCACACAAGCTGTTTCCAGTGTTTTTTTCCATGTGAATGGCCTGTTTTGGCTCATGCTTCTGACTTTCCTAAAATTTCTCAAATAAGCAGCATCTGGTCTTGGCATGTCCTGTTCTGCCCTCTAAGTGTCCCCAGGGCCAGCACAAGTGGCAGCCAGCCTTGGTTTGCAGCTTGGCCTCACCTAGGCACCTCCAAACCCAGAAAAGTGGCAGGCTTCTGCAGTCACTTTGTAGCTCATACGAGATGGCCCCAGGTAGAACACAGGTGGTGGCTACTCTTGGCCTGCACCTTCTGGGAGGCCCCAATGCCAGTGAACCTGGTGGACAGCTTCAGACCACATCCAAGCACCACCCAACCACCTCCACAAGTGACACACTCAAGTGTTGAACTCTGTGGGCACCAGAACCCCTCAAGTAATTCCTGCTCCTTGGGTTGGGCCACTGCACTGCTGGTCCTCCATGGTGGTTGCAGCGACTCCTTGCAGCTGACAGGCCTGGTGGTAAATCCCTCCCATCGATGTGCCGACAATAATCAAGGCTCTACTACAACAGGAGGGTGTACCAGTACATAGCCCACAATGGGGAAGCACACCTGGAGTGCCCAGCTTAGGTGAACGGGGAGGCTGGGCCACTGGACCATATAGGATACCTATTACATTAGGCCACTCTACCAAGCCTGGGAGATATAGCAGCTCTATGTAACACATAGAAACAAACACAGGGAGGCTTCCAAAATAAGGAGACAAAGAAATGTCCCAAATGAAAGAACAGAACAAAACTCCAGAAAGAGAACTAAACAAGATAGGGATAGATAATCTACTAGATGCAAAGTTCAAAACACTAGTTGAAAGGATGCCCAATGAACCTAGGGGAAGAGTAGATGAACTTAGTGAAAACTTTATCAGTATAAAATAATACATGGAAACCACAAGAAAGAACCAGTCAGAAATGAAGGATACACTAACTGAAATGAAGAATAATTTACGGGGAATCAACAGTAGAGTAGATGAAGCCAAGAAACAAAACAACAATTTGGAATATTAGAAAGCACAAAACACCCAATCAGAAGAGCAAAAAGGAAAAAGAATTTAAAAAAATGAGGATAGTATAAAGAGCCTCTGGGACAACTTCAAGCATTCTAATATTTGCTTTATGGGGGTGCCGGAAGGGGAAGAGAGAGAGCAAGAAATTGAAAAACTATTTAAAAAAATAGTGACAGTAACCTTCTCTAATCTGGTGAAGGAAATAGACATTCAAGTCCAGGGAGCACAGAGAATCCCAAACAAGATGAACACAAAGAGGCTCACCCCAAGATACATCATAATTAAAATGCAAAAGATTAAACACAGAGAATCTTAAAAGTAGCAAAAAAAAGTAGTTACCTACAAGGAAGCTCCCATAGGACTGTCAGCTGACTTCTCAACTGAAACTTTGCAGGCCAGAAAGGTTTGGCAAGAAATATTCAAAGTGATTGAAAACAAGGGCCTATACAATGTTGCACTCTTGTATCTATGTTTCTTTCCTGCTCCCTTCTTCTCTCTCTAAAAATTAATAAGCCTGCCTGGCTGGCATGGCTCAATGTTTGAGCATTGACCTATGAACCAGGAGGTCATGCTTCGATTCCTGGTCAGGGCACATGCCATTGTTTCTGGCTCAAACCCCAGTGTTCAGTATGCAGGAGATGGCTGACCAATGATTTTCATCATTGGTCTCTCTCTCTCCCTCCATTACATATATATATATATATAGTCAATAAACTATTCCTATAATTTAAAAAAAAAGCAAGGACCTATAACCAAGATTACTCTACCCAGAAAAGCTATCAGTGAGAATCGAAGGGCATATAAAGAGCTTCCCAGAAAAGAAAAAGCTAAAAGAGTTCATCACCATCAAACCAGTATTACATAAAATGTCAGTTAAAGGGTCTTCTTTAAGAAGAAGAAGATAAGATAAAAGATTTTAAAAATATGAACATCAAAATGGGAGTAAATACATATCTATCAACAATTGAATCTAAAACAAAATAAACAAGCAGAACAGAACATACTCATAGATAGAGTGAACATTTTGACAATTGCCAGAAGGGAGGGGGGTTGAGGCAATGGGTGAAAAAGGTGAGGGTATTAAGAGGTACAAATTGGTAGTAACAGAATAGTCATGGGGATATAAGGTACAGCATAGGGAATATAGTCCATAATCTAACCACTATGTATGGTATCAGATGGCGTTTCTTAGGCAAAGTTGAAAAAGAAAAAGTATGGTTTATAACCCTCCAATTTAATCTTCTTCCAGGGTTCCAGAGGTCCTCAAACTTTTTAAACAGGGGGCCAGTTCACTGTCCCTTAGACATTCCACACATTCGCACTGCGGGCCCGGGACGAGTCTCCTGCTAAGCAGGACAGGCAGCAGCGGCAAAAACACCCGGTGGGCCAGATAAATGTTTTCGGCAGGCCGCATGTGGCCCGAGGGCCATAGTTTGAGGACCCCTGTTTAAACTATAATGTAACTTGGAACCCTCCAATAATCTTCTTCCAGGCTTTGAACTATAATGTGATTTGGAAGAATTTTAAATTTATTAGTCAATTAATAATATGGCACATTGACATAATAGCTCAGAAATACTTGGAAGTTCTTTTAATATGTGTAGATTGACTGTGTATATGTGATCACTGTGTGAGTGGTGGTGGTGGTGGTGGGGCGGGGGGCTGGTCTTTATTCCTCTAGTCTCATTCAGAAAAATACTTATTAGGCCAGTTAAAAGTGGTCACACCCCAAGTAGGGAGGTCTCCTGGTGGCCTACCTTTGTGACCTGGCATTAAAAGACTTTATCAAGTTAAAAAATGATGGGGTCTGATTACTTTCTGATATGGCCTCTACTCCTCCTTCCCATCATTCCTGAACAGCTGCAAGGTGGTATCTACAAGACCTCTAACCCACCTCTCAGGAGGCTATTTTTGACCCTGCTGAGAGGCCAGTCATCTCCCTTCTCTTCATCATCTTAACTCAGAGCTTCCCTGGACACCAAAGTGATCTATTAATGCGGTTGGCTGAATAATTCTGGAAGGAGGAGTTTGTTTTTGTTGCCTTTGATGTTTGGGATTCTCAAGTGAGGACTAAATTTAGAGTAATTATGGCCATAACACTTTTTCTTTTTTATGCCCTTTGTGAGCTGTCTTTGAAATTGGAACTATATATTTTCAAGGCTGCTCAGCGTACTGCAGCAGTAGACATAGGGAAATGGGAGCATCAGTTCTCTTTCTTTGAGGGGCCTGTGACTCTGTCCAGTCACTGGCTGACTTGTTTGTATTTAAACATTTGGGAGGCAGTGCAGTATGGGGCAGTGGAAAGACAAAGGATTTGGAGTCTGCGATCTGGGTAGCTTGGGCAAACTGTTAACCTCTTCGAGCCTCAATATTCTCATCTGCTAATTGGGGATACTGATACATAGGTGAGGACATGCCAGTGAGGTTAACACTAGATTGCCCAAGGAAGTCATTTTGACTGCTTTTTAATTTCAATTAGAAAAACAATGATGTATAAAATGACAGAATTTCTTAGAATTTTGTGACTTTTTATACAACATATAAATGAGTTTATTAATAATTGTAGTTACCTCCCCCTCCTTCATTTCCGATATATATATTCTAATAAGTTGTTTATTTTATTTCTTTTGTGCCCTAAATTCATGAAAGAAATGTCAAATAGAAGTGAGTTATTGGAAAAGCTAAGGAACATAAGTGAAGAGTGCTCCGATATTATTCTTTCACAATGCAGTCATTTTGACTGCTTTTGGGCAATATAGGTATATACTAAATTTCAGTCTTTCTAGTGTTAAACACAGGCCTAGGGCTTTAAGGGGTTGGTTAGTCCATAAACATGTTAAGTGTTCACTCTATGCAAAGCACCCTGCCAGATGTGTCCAATATGCAAATAAGGACATAGGGATGAACTCTGGCCTCCAAAAGCTAAGATATCTACGTTAAAAAAAAGAAAAGATGCCCGATGAGTCCTCTAGCTAGTGTATCTTATAGGCAGTAAGCGAGAGTGGGAAAATTCTTTCATTCATTCATTCCTGGTGCTGCTGTACTCCAGGTGTTGTTCTAGGGTTTGGGGAGTCTTCTTAGAGGAATTTCTCCTTTTATAAGTTCATATAAGGGAGAGGATCATATTGTCTAGTTGGAAAACTAGACAAAATCAGGGTTCAGAATGAGCAGACCTAGGGGAAGTTAAAGGTGGCCAAGGGTTCATTCATTTTCCCTGGCAAAGGGGAGGTGATGTGCAGGGTTATAAAAGGGTTCATATGCAGGAGAGACATAACCTGCAGGGAGTGTTTTTGGAGATCAGTCTGCCCAAAGACAGCTTGGACTGGAGTAGGTGTGGGAATGGGGAAGACCAAGGGGCAGAAGCAGACTAAAACAGGAGGCCAGGTGAGAAGCTTTTGGAAATTCCAGAAAGTGGCATTGAGAAGCAAAGGAATGGATGGGTGTTAGAGACAAGGAAACAGGTGACGGTAATGCCCAGAGTTGGCTGTGGAGTTGAACACTAAGCTGCACAGATCCTCCTCTTCCTCAGGCCTTGAACATCATCTTTGGAGGTACAGGGCATGGTTGACAGATGTTTTCTAGTTTATTTTTTAAGTCAGTAGCAGTGAAAGTGTTGGAATCAGTCTGAATTTAAGAGAATTAAGGCCCCACTCCGAGTACCTCTAGTTCTGGATTAGATGACAGAGTCACAAGGCCAAAAGTTTTCAGGCTTTGTAAAGCAGGGGAAGTCTTAGGTAGCCACCCCTGTCGCACCCCCACTAAATCATGGCGCTTTAAGAAACTGTTACCCCTTTTATACTATTTGTGTGAATGGAGCATAAATGGGGACTTCTCAATTAATATTTAAATTCCTGGGTTTCAGGTATCTACAGTGTGGGTGCGGTGTTCTGGATGCACAGAGGTGAACAGAATAGATGGTGTGAGGGGGCAGGGGGAGGTCTCCACTCTTATGACCAGTTTGATGAGGACGAAGACATGACTAATAGCCACACTCAACCATATATGATTACAAATTGTAATAAGTGCAACAGAGGCAAAGTCTAAGGGATAATGGTAGAGCTTAGGGGGTAGTGGTCAGGGACAGCTTCTATGGGGAGGTAACAAAGTAAGACCTAAAGGTTGTGTAAAAGCCTGGGGGAAAGCATTCCAATGAAGGAGGGGAAGGGCTTGTCCCTTGAGGTCCAGAAACAGGGCATGTTGGTGGGGCTCAGTGCATGATGGGAAGGGGATGTTCTCACCTTCTCCATTGCTACTATGTGTCAAAGCCACCATCATCTCCCTCTATCTGGACTAGCCTAGTAGCCTCCTAGCTGGTCGCTGGGCTTCCATCTTAGCCTGTCTCCCTTTCTTCTACCTGCTTCCCCCCACCCCACAGCCAATCTATTGTTCACACAAAACTATGGTGATTCTTTACAAATTGAATCATATCCTGTCATTCCTCTACCCTGTGCTCACCCATTCAGAGTCCTTCCCGTGGCTGACGAGGCCCTGCATTACGTGGCCCTGATACCTCTCAGACCTCTTTCCCACCTTGCCCTCCTTTCTCTCCTCACTGTGGCACACTAGCCTCGCTGCAACAGGAGCCACATTTGTCTCAGGGCTTTTATACTTGACATTTTCTTTGCCTGGGATCATCTCTCAAATGTTTGCTCCTTCATTTCACTCAGGCCTTTGCTGAAATATTTTCCATCAGTGCAGAGGTTCCTCCTCCTCCTCCTCCTCCTCCTTCTTTTTGAAAAAGGTATTCTTTAATCTGTTTTAATTTTCTTCCCAGCACTTTTCTCTACAGGACATTATGTTCTGTGTTTGCTTTTTGCTAGTATTTCCCATTAGAATGAAAGCTGTAGGATGTCAGGGTCTTGCTGCACACCAGCTGGACTGGTATCTGGTCAGTAATAGATGCTTACTAAATACTTGTGAATGAATCAATGACTCACCATTCATGTTGGAGAAGTAGGCAGGCCCAGAGGACTGGGGGCCTCATGAGACTTGAAAGATTTTGCACTTTATCCTAAGGGCAGTGAGAAGCTATTAAGGGTTTTAAGCATAGGCGTGATGAGATGAGATGCATTTTGGAGTTAGATTTCAGAAGACTCATTTAGCTCAGAAGTGGAAGGCAAGGGAGAAGGAGGCACCAGCACAACGACAGGTTCTTCTGAAGACAACAGGATGGGTGGCCGTGGCATTTGCCGAGAGGTGCGATTTGGGGAGGGCAGTTTGAACATGAGCTCAGCATTGCCTGGGAGATGTGCAGGGGATGTGGCCCGTGGTGGGTTGGATGTACAGGACTGAAGAGCCACCAGAGGGCAATTGTTCTTTTCCGTCTGGAGGGGGAATTGGGGCTGGGAATCACATGCCATGGGCTGAAAGCCTAGCCAGTGCTTGTTTGGGAAATGAAAGGCCTTTTAAGCATTTCACAAGTCAGGAGCAGCCATCTTTCTTCCTTGAAGGTGGGACAGGAGAGCGGTTTTTTAATTTTTATTGTTTTTTTTATTAATTCCCTGTTAATTCAAAGCTGCTCCCTAAACACTGAATGGATGACCTTGGACAAGACCAACTTTGCGAGGTTTAGTGTTTTCTCCTGTAAAAGAACCATAATAGTCATTGTCCCCTAAGTGTTTTGGTGAAAATTAGATGGGATAATACACAGAAAGCATTAGACAGGGAGCACAACCAATACCTTTTATTTTTACTTTTATGGAAGCTACCAACCTGACGCTTCCTCTCACCGCCTCTCCTCTGGTAACAGGAGGGAGAACTGGCCAGTTCTAGGCTGCCTCTCCCGAGTCTAAGCCTGATGCAGCCTCACGCGCAGGCTCCTGAGTGGGTTGTCTCTCTCTTTCCAGGATATCAACCAGAAACTGCAGGAGGACAACCAGGAACTGCGGGACCTCTGCTGCTTCCTGGATGACGACCGGCAGAAAGGCAAGAGGGTGTCCCGGGAGTGGCAGAGACTGGGCCGCTTCACAGCCGGGGTGATGCACAAGGAAGTGGCCTTATACCTGCAGAAGCTGAAGGAGCTGGAGGTGAAGCAGGAGGAGGTGGTGAAGGAGAACATGGAGCTCAAGGAGCTCTGCGTGCTGCTGGATGAGGAGAAGGGCGCGGGCTGCGCGGGCAGCCGCTGCTCCATCGACAGCCAGGCCAGCCTGTGCCAGCTCACCGCCTCCACCGCACCCTACGTGCGGGACGTGGGCGACGGCAGCAGCACCTCCAGCGCGGGCAGCACCGACAGCCCCGACCACCACAAGCAGCACGCGAGCGGCGGCAGCCCCGAGCACCTGCAGAAGCCGCGGGCGGAGGGCAGCCCCGAGCACACCAAGCACAGGAGCACCAGCCCGGAGCACCTACAGAAACCCAGAGCCCCCGGGACCCCGGATCACCCCAAAGCACTCAAAGGACCCAGCCCCGAGCACCACAAACCCCTGTGCAAGGGCAGCCCTGAACAGCAGAGGCACCCGCACCCCGGCAGCAGCCCGGAGACGCTGCCCAAACACGTGCTGAGCGGGAGCCCGGAACACTTCCAGAAGCACAGAGCCAGGGGCAGCCCCGAGCACGCCAGGCACAGCGGGGGGAGCCCGGAGCACCTGCAGAAACACGCCCTCGGTGGCAGCCTGGAGCACCTCCCCAGGGCCAGGGGCACCAGCCCGGAGCACCTCAAACAGCATTACGAGGGGAGCCCTGACCACAAACATGTGGGCGGCGGAGGCGGCGGCGGAGGCAGCAGGGAGGGCACCCTCCGAAGACAGGCGCAAGAGGAAGTGTCGCCCCATCACCGGAATGTCTACAGTGGCATGAACGGTGGGTCAGTACGTGCTGGGGATTGCTTTGGCCGGGCAGCTCTGTAGAGAGATCTGGATAAAGGGCGGCCCAGCCAGATTAGCAAGTGCAGGCGCTGGCCAGGGGGTGGGTTGGGGGAGGAGCAAATATTTGCCCTAATTCATCATGTGTGCTTCTTCCCCTCGATTGGTTTTAGTTTTTACAGTTATGAGTCAAGTAAGCTTGGAGGAAAAGAGGAGGGGTTGGGGAGGGAGAGGAACAATAATTCCTATGGGCTCTGAGTAGTTGGGGTGAGATTTATGGGAACGGAAGATGAAACCAACCCAGTCTAAGATTCTTCCATCTTGAACTTGAGCATTTTCCTAGTTGTGTGCAGTCTCTTGCTGGGGCTCGCTGGTGAAACAGGTGACCAAAAAGTTTTCTAATCCAATTATAGTAAACTAGAGGTCCAGTGCAGGAATTCATGCACGGGCGGGGTCTGGCCGTCCTGGCCCGAATTGGGGCAGCCGGCTGGCCAGAGGGGCCGCAGGTCCCATCAGGGGCAGGGCCGGCCAGGGGGAGGGGCTGCAGGAAGTTCACTGACCAGCTCTGCCCCTGATAGGGGTAGGGAGGCTGATATAGGGTGGGGCTGGGCAGGAGGAGGGGCTGCAGGAGGTTGGCCAGCCGCGTGCGCCCCCCCCCATCAGCCAGCTAGCCACAGTGGGTGTCATAGCCACTGGTCATTAGGCATTCTGGTTGCTGGTATGTGTGTGTATATATATATATATATATTTATTATGAAAACCAATATCATTAAAAAGGAAATATGGTGTCCCTAAACAGGCTTGATGCTGGGTTGCCTGAATGCCTATAAATATGCTTTACTTGACCTTGAAGATTTTTTTTTTTTTTGGTTTTGGGGGCCTTCGCATGAATATGTGACTTTACTTTGCATCTAAAATGTATCAACTGATTCCCTTCTCTACTTACTCAAAACCACCCAACCCTCCCAACCAAACTCCCTGAAAGGTATTCTAAATAGCACGCTCTTTGACTTCAACATGAGAAATATTTTTCGGTTGTCTAAATGTTCCTTTAAAAAAATGTACAGATGTGTTTGGACACTCCTTTGGTTTCCACAGCATGATATGCACTGCATTTGCTGAGGTTGCTCTAAACCCAAGTTTTTAAACCATTGGAAGAGGTTTAATTTTCTGCATCTTGGTTCTGAAACCACCTTGAACTCGAAAGGGGAAAAAAATAATTTCTTCAAAAAACAAATGAAAAACCCCTTACCATCCTGTTATGTTACTTATGGTTGAGTTGGAACTAAACTGATTGGTTTTATGAACTGTGGGCTGTTTTCATTCAAAATATCTGAGGTTTCTCACTCTATTTGAAAGCTGCTCAGGAGTCAGTGGCAGTCAGCTTTGAGCTGTGGTGGCTTCCAATTTTAGCAGCAACACAATGGGGTAAATTTTCAATGTTGTACTTGAGGATTTACCTGTTGGATTCCATTTCATCCTAATCCTTTTCTTGTAGTGCTGAAAATTGACTCCTGAAGCTTGGCTTCTAATGCATCCAATGTTCTCTTAAGCACACGTGGAACTAGAAAGGGTGGGAAAGGTCGGGTGGTTGGTGGTTTGTGTTGGGAGATGGAGACAGGGAGAAGCCAATTCTCCCGTTGTGTTGTGTGGAGGCCTCCTGGCTGACTTGGGGCTTTTAAGTTCACTGCGTGTCACTCACTCTTCCCAGGAGAGGCAGAGATGCTGCCGGGATGTTGAGGGCAGCCTTGGCTGTGCAGCTTTCACAGGGATGAAAGTCATTGAGAAAGATATTTCGGTTGTGCTACTACCAAAGATAGGTCATTGACATGAGCTTGTCTTCAGGGGGTAATGGGTTAACAGGAAGGTGACGTTAATGGCTTTTCCATTTCTTGATTACTTTTTGATGAACATGAAAAGTAAATGATGTGCACTGTTTTAAGGAAAATGTATGTTGAACAACAACAACAAAAAATACTTAGGGGCAGATGGTTAACTTACACAACTATTCTCTTTACAAAATGACTTTTTAAAGTAAAGAACTCATTGAGCTTAATCAATGTATGATTTAGTGTACAAGAAAAGTTTTTCGGTGCGACTGTTAAACAATGCCTGGCATAAAGTAAGGTTTGTCTCTAGAGAAGGGTGACATTACATCATGGCTTACTGTTGCCTGGACTCAGATAAACATCGTGGGTCAGGCAAATGATTTTTAAAATGTAGCCATTTTATTTCGTTAAAAATTTGATGTGTCATTTAGAATGTCACTATATTTAATTTTTGTGTGTTTACTTCTTTTCTCATTCTAAAGTGACAGATCTTTTGACAGTTGATATCCTCACCAAGGTATATTTGTAGCACATTTGCATTATGTTTTTAGTTCAGTAATTAATTGGAAAATGAAGTGGCACAATGTTCATGGATCATCAGCCTATAAACAAGGCACTGGCAGCTTGTATTTATCCTGCTGTTACAAATTAATTTTTGATATGGATGGTAAGACATGATCTTTTATACTTACAAATCACCACACACTTGCTTGAGTCATTGGTTTATAAACAGATAGGAGCCAGTAGCAAGTTTAATCTCAAATTGCAGATTTGCCAAGTCACTTACAGAGTCATTCTGTTGCAGTTGGTGTGAGATCTGAGTGTTTTGGATGAGCACTTGCATGCTTTTATTATGAACAGAAAGGAGGTGAAAGTAGGTGGAAGTGTCTGCATTATACGGCAGGATGAAACAGAGATGGTGGGATATTGTCCTACTTGTAAGAATATACATCCCTCCAAGAGGACACAATATATACACGGAGGGAACATTAGTGAAACAATTGCTGTTTTAGTTGACTGAGTCTTGAGCATCTTTAAGTCTTCTTGTGCCTTCAGTGGCAAGCTACTGGATTAATAAGTAGATGAACTTGACCTCCTAGAGTTTCCTTTGGTTAAAACAGTTGGCTTAATTTCCTACTGGATGCAAAGACAAATTTTAGGCAGTTTTCTCTTAAAAATATGTAAGGCTATATAGCCACTTTTCAATTAGTAGCTGATTGAAAAGCAAAGACCAAAAAAAAAAAAAAAAAGCCACAGGGAAAAAAATCTGTAAATTGAACAAAATGCTCATGAATGCATTTACTTGTTTAGAAGTTATTATTCAACTATTTGTTTTCAATTTGTAGAGAGTTCCATTTGCAAAGATGAAGCAGATTCAACACTTATCACATCTAGACATTAAGGCATTTGTCTATTCCATTCAAGTTACTTGCTGTATTCCAGATTTGTAAACCAAGTAATTGAATAGCCACTTTTAGCTATGAATGTACACAAACTGATAGCCTCCTTGAGAATGGGGGATTCATTTACCTGGCTCCATTGAAATCCAAGGTTGGATTAAACTTTTGTAGGTGAAAGTGTTCCCTTTCACAAGGAGACCAAGGGCTTTTGCTTCCAGTTATCAGCTGGCAGATCTTCGCTTTTTAACAGAAAACGTTTTAGCTCAGGTCATGGATGCCATGGATGATTCAGGTTCTTTCAGCAGCAATAGCTCTGTTTTATTGTTAACCTTCCAGACAGGGATGATTCTGATCATCAGGCCTTTCTTTACAAGTAGTCCTCCACCTCTGGGACATTATGAACCCAGTCAAAAAATAATAACTAGAATTTTATTTTAATTCTAGAAGCACATATTTCTGGTTATCAGCAACTGAGAAAAAAATCTTAGAAGAAACGTTACTCCTTATTTTATTGTTTATCTTCTTTCTCCTGAAAGTATTGCTCAGTTATTATTAATATGACATTTGAGGGCAGGTTCCAGTGAACAATAGCTTCATACCCTCCTTCGGCATCACCTAGCCAATGAGAGCGCACACAGGGCATTATTCACTTATCTTAGACAAGGTCAGTTCATTTGGCCTTGCAGGACGGAGTGTCAGGGTTGCGAGTCTTCCGCCTGAAAGCTTCTTCCCGCCTCTTTTCCTCTTTCATGCGAGTATCTCTAGAGATAGAAAGAGCGTGCTATTTCTCCCACTAACTCTTCCTCTAGAGCAGCAGTTTCTCAGCAGCAGCACTGGTCACATTGGGGGCCATGGAAATCTTTGTTTTGAGGGGGTCGTTTTGTGTGTTGTAGGAGATTTAGCAGCAAGCTGGGCTGTACCCATGAACCACCCCCAGGTGTGACTAATTAAAAGGTCCCCAGACCCGGCCAAATGTTCCTGGGTGTGGGCAGAATTGCCCCTGATCCAGAATCACTGCTTTGGAGCCGAGTTTTCCAATCTGGCTGCAGATTAAAATCACTGTGGTAGCTGTGAAAAAACACCTGTGCCTGGGCCCCACACTCAAATGCAGATTGAATTGGTCTGGCACTGGGCCTGGGCACATTGCAAAATGAGCTCCTCAGGTGAAGCCTGTTGCCCCAGGCTTTTTAAGATGGTTGGTGTGGGTGAAGCTCTCAAACACCCAAGCCTCCTGGGGAGAAGAAAGTTAACTTTTCCCTTTTTTGCTGAAATGAACTCCAGGACTGAGAAGGACTGACCCCAGCAGGTACTGTAAGACTTCACCCCTCTCAGCCCAGAGCAAGGCTGTATTATAATGCACGTTGGGGGGCTATGCTTTGAAAATTTGAGTTTTTGGCGGGTGGAGTTATTAGGCTAATTTTGGGAAACCCTGGTATATGGATAGTTCGAGATTACTTTTTAAAGCCTTTGCAGCCAGATGGAAAAGGGAGAATGTGAGTTTCTAACCCATTTCTGGTGGATACCAATGGTGCATGTAGATCACACAGCGTCTGCAATGTGAATGCCTGTTTCCCAGTTTATAGGTTTTACCCTGGGTCTTAGGGCTGCTCCTTATTCTTTGTTGAGGTTATTAATGAGTGAACAAAAATGCTGATAACACAAAATGGCCTCGTTTATGGAGGGGTAAGAACCCGTGTGTGTGGAGAAGCCCAGCAGAATTTTCTGAAGCAAGGTCATCTGTAAATTAAATATTGCTGCAGTATAGCATG